AATTGCAGATTCTGTGCCCTCCGTGTGCTATACCCAGATGATTTCCAATTTTTAAGCTTACAGTTGTCAGTTATACGGGCTGTTCTGAATCAAAATTGTGCCTATAGAAGAAATATATCAAAGACAAAAGGCAGAAAGCAGCAAAATACCTCTTTGTTTGCGGCCAGACTAAAAAATATTCAACAAGAAAAATAAAATACTAAAAGATAGTGCATATTTGGAAGACTAAAATGACCACATAATGAATAATAATTTTGACAATTCACCAGAAACACAAACACAATAGGCATCAACGTCTTCATAGATAATGCATAATGCATCATGAGTTAAAGTCATCAGAGCTCCTAAAATCTCCAAGCCAGAGAAAATGAAATAAACAAACAAATAAATCTCAAAAATGAAACTTCCTTTGCATAAACGCAATAAGCTTACTTCAAAAATCCAGCGTGGAGGTGGCCAGAACAACTTGTTATATTCTGGGTAGTTTGTTAATGATCCTATATTACCAGAATCAAACTCAAATAAACCTATTCCCTGAACTCCTGCAGCTTCATTTTCTTCACCATTCCCATAAGTATCCGCAAAAAACACACAATTCCCTTTGAATTCCGATAGCATATCACAAGCAGAAGCAGAAAAGGCACAATCATCACCAATGAACAATACACGATTATCCAAACTTTCAAGCTCAACCCACATTTTTCCTTCTACATTCAATCTAAAAACCTTAAACCTAACCGTTCTCTCCTTCATATAATAAGCAAGATGCTCAAAATACTCCTCCAGAAAACCCCCTCCCTCCGTTTCTATGCTCAAATACATATCAACCAACAAAAGTTCACCGCAAGATTCAACCAGTAACTTCTTGTCACCGCCAAAAACAGGATTTGCAGTCACATTCAAGTCAATAGACGAAGAATCTACAATCACGGTCCTCCCATTATTATCCACAGCATAGAAATGCCCTTTAAACAGTATAACATCATCGAATGGAGATGGCATGTCATGAATTATAGTCCATGCTCTGTTCTCAGATTTAAAGACAGCCAATTTACCAGAAACGTGAATAGTTAGCAACATAAAATCATTTCCATTTTCATCGTCTAAACTCATAACAACTACTTTCTCCATATACACGCTACCCAGATCTCTAAACTACAATTCACGTAATGAAGCACAAATTCTTGACCCAACTCTTGTAGCCGAAACCTCGATACGTCGAGAATTCGGGGAAAACCTTCAGGTAAAGAATCGATATAGTTTCTCGTGAGTGGATTCAGCAGGCGCTTTCTGTCGGGAATATCCTCCTCGACTTTGACTAACCAAGCAATAGGGTTTGTTTCAGTTTGGGATTCGGGTGGTGTGATGAGGAAGATGGTGCGTTTGGAAAGGTAGAAACCGAAGGCAGAGTCAGAGATGGCGTTGTCCGCGAGGTTCCGGTATCCACCAGGTAAACGACTGCGTTTTGGGGTAGCAGAGACTCTCCACGAGGAGCAGACGGAGCGAAATCGCATAAGGTCGGTGGGGGTCTCGAGATGCTTGGAAATGAGGTGTACGAGTTCCTGCGGGAGAAGTGTCCAATCCGCCATGGATTATCGATTTTCGCTGTATCAGCGAACCGAGAGATCAAGCATGAAAAAGACGCGTGTGCAGAGATCGAAGGAAAACAGCGGCAATGGAAAGAAACGGTGCGGTTTTCATGATGTGCTGAATGACAGCCACGTAGCCAAACACAATCAATCCATCGATTAACGACACGTGTGCCCAACACGTCGATAATTTGTTAAATTAAAAATTACTAGAAAATAAAAATATAACATTATATATCAAATTCTAAATAAATAAGAACTGATTAAATATTATTAAATGTAATAAATATAGTGGTAAGCCTCATTTATATCTATAATGAAAAATATTAAAAATTATTTGTAAATATTAAACACATTAGATATTTATCTATTTGGTGAGACTTTTGCTTTACGATTAATACAAAAAAACGCCAAAAAAATTAAAATATTGGGTAAAATCAGAAATTATTTTTATTTTTAAAAAAACTTGAAATCTAAATATAAGAAGAAAAACTTTTGAAAAATGATTTATGTGAGGTAAAAATATAATTTTATGTTTCATTAATAATTTTAAATTTATTGTAAATTATTTAAATAGTATTTATTTTAAAATTTAATAATAAAACATTAAATAAAAATTTATTCAAATAAAATAATCAAAGTAAAATAAATTGTTTAAATTATAAAACTATTAAAATAATTTTAAAAGTATAATATTATTTTAATACTTTTTATTAATTTTATAATATAATCAATTAATTATATTTTATACTGAGAGCAGTTACAATAAATTTTCTTAAAAATTTTATTAAAAATTATTTTAAAATACTTCCTAGTCATTACATAATCACCAGCCGAACTAAGCTGAAGTTAAAATAGGCAAATCCCATAAGCCCAGCTTCTATATAGGTCTCCGACGAGTATGATGTTTTCTCTCTGAATTCACAGGCATTGCTTGCTGTGTGTGTCAAAACTTAACTGGAAGATCTTCCTCTCCAGAAACTGCATCAAAATCTCATGGAGAAGATGCAGAGGACCAAAAAAATTGATCCCAAAACCCCAGTGGTATCGAGCCAAAAGAAGATATTCGGGACCAACACACTGCAAATCAACGGAGACGATGCTTCATGTTTGATTGGTAGCATTTTGGAGAAAGGTATTTCTGATAGCAAACAAACAAGCAAGCCCTTTTCTCCAATCCCACCTCCGAGACCCACCGTCCTTCCTTTCCCAGTCGCACGCCACCGCTCTCATGGACCTGTAGGCTCCTACTTCTTCTCTCTTATTACCGTCTTCTTTTTATTTTCTTTTCAATAAAGATATAAATTTTGGTAGATAAATAAACGAAAATCAATTTTTTGAGACGTCTTACTGAAGTAGCTTTTGTTTAGGGTGTTAGCTTGATTTGTAGCTTTTGTTTATGGTTTTTTTTATGGGTTTTGCTCTAATGGGTGCTCTAGCTAATAGGAAAGTATCTTCATAAAACCATTACTTTCCTGTGGTTATTATAATTAATTTGCAGTCGGTGACAAGCCGTTTGGTTATTTTCAATTTTATCTCATTTATCACAAGCTTTTCTTGTTTTTGAGGGAAAGACAAAATAGATTGGAGCTTTAATTTCTATAGGTTTGTGGACTGATATTGTCGTTTCGATGCACAGCATTGGAACCCATTAGATAGTTTAAAGACGGACCATAATTGTGTGGGTGGTGAGGATGATGAGGAAGAAGATGAATTTGTCAACAGTAACTCAATTTCTTCTTTTGCTAATCCAGTAGAGAGAAAGCAGAAGAAAGGTTTGGACTTTAGCAAGTGGAAGGAGCTAATCCGGGGTGATTCATCTAACACGACAAAGGAAGGAGAAGAAGATAAGTCCAACATAGGCAAGACTGAAAAGCAGAAGAAAAATGTAGGAGGAGCATTTAGAATGACTGAAAAGAACATATCATCTGATCTATCTATTGCTGTGGTTCCCATGGAAGTGGACGATGAAGAGCATTCAGATTCTAGCAGCTTTGATTCTGTTATTCCAAAGGTGCCGATAAAGGCTTCAGCTTCAACTATGATTTCCAGTTACATATCAACTGACTCTAGAAATGAACAGGGATCTGTATCTCTTGAGAGTGAGATTGATGCTGAGAATCGTGCTCAGCTAGCGAGAATGTCGCCTGAAGAGATTGCTGAAGCACAGGCTGAGATAATGGAGAAGATGGATCCTGCATTATTAAACTTACTGAGAAAGAGGGGCCGAGACAAACTGAAGAAGCAGACATATTCAAGTCCAAAAGTAGCCAGAAATGATGAAGTTCATAATGCACAAAGTGAGATTCAATCCAACAATGCCAATACTTCTTTAGGCTTAGAGCATGATAATTCTCAGATGACGACGTCATGCCCCGCAAAAGACAAAAACAACAGGTTGAACAATAATTCACCGCATAATTCAGCGTCCACCACTGGTACTTTGTGGGAGGAATGGAGTAAGAGGGTTGAGGCTGTTCGGAACTTAAGATTTTCCTTGGTTGGTAGTGTTGTTGAAGATGATTTTGTCTCAACCTTTGACACAGGTAAGGCTAAATTATTGGTGCTCATAATATTTCTCTTTCTTACTTATTCTCAATAATATCATTTACAAATTCTCAGCATATCTGATAATTTTTCTTTTCTTAGAAAATTCTGTTGCCACTAACTGTCGTCATTAATTAATTTGTTTGACAGCACTCACTGTGATGGTACTGATCAGCTGGTGCTTTTAGACCATTGTTTGGTTAAAATCAAGGACCAGTTGGTTATTTCCAGTGTTTGCAAGGTTGAGAGTCAGGCACCTTATATCATACACGATGTCAAATTTAATATATTTGAAAGCATTGGAAATTACCAAATTGTCTGAAAATAGCTTGAATAGAGGATGTTGTTAGGAGGAAACTTCTAGGATTTTGGAGCTTCAGTCTAGCACCTTTGATAGATGGGCATTGCATAATTAGTGCCTATACGATTAAGAGTTCTTGCCTTTTTTGAAGTTTCCTGGTTTTTGGGCAACCAGGAAGAATTTTTTTTATTTTTTGAGAAAAATATTTCAATTCAACCACACCGAAGGGGTGCAATAAATACCGGTATATAAATTATTTACATATCTAAATATATTTATAAGATCCTCTAAATCCTCACAAAATAAAGAAGATAACTCTTGGTAAAAAAGCTTGGGATCTGCAACCATGAATCAATGAATATATCAAAATTACTCTTCATGTCCTTGAAAGTTATCCTACTTCATTCCTTCCAAATTATCCAAAATAGCAAGCGAAATAAACTTTGAAGATCGCCTGTCCTTGTACATACCAGTCCAAGTATGAATCTTTTCCCTCACAAAACCCGTCGTCACCCAACTAATCCCTAGAAGGCCATAAGCTAGGGTTTACAGACAATAAGTGAATAGACACCACAAGAGAATATGATTACGCGACTCTACCTCCCTTTTACACAAGAAAGATCCATTAACCAAGAAGAATCTTAGGGTTCTGGATAAATTTTGGTTTCCTATTCTTCCTTCCCTCTGCCCTCCACCCCCTCCCCCTCTGGCCTCCACAAATTATCTATTATGCTTAACACTTTGCTTGGCAGGAAAGATATTGGAGGAAAGAGAAACAAAAATGGTTTAGGGAGGGAGGGAGGGAGGGTAAGTAAAAGTGATAACATGGGGGTTTTAAATTTGTTTGTGTTCAAAACATTTTTCCTATGGAGGAATGGGTAAAGTATTAATCTTGTTTGTATCAAAGAACAGAAAGATGCCAAAGCTTCCACATGATGTTGACGATTTCCAGTGTTGTAGGTGAACTTTCTCTTCACAAGGGGCCTAATGCTGATAATGCTGCTGAGCGTGACTTCTTAAGAACCGATGGGGACCCTGGTGCTGCAGGTTACACAATCAAAGAAGCAGTAGCACTTTCTAGAAGTGCGGTAAGATGATACTATTTTTTATGGTAGTTGTTTAATTAATAGATCAATTACTATGGTAGTTGTTTAATTAATAGATCAATTACTTCTTTTTCTTCAATTTAGCTGTAAGGTAAATTTTGCCCAAGGTTGAGGTGTGGAAATATTGCTTTTGCTGTAAATTTTAGAATTCGAAACAATAAAGGAACAGACTGCTCTCTCTAACAATATTTTAAATATAATATGAAAACAATACCAGTTCATGGAGAAATCCAAAAATGAGCTAAAAATCATTAATAGTTTCATGCTTAACATATAAAAAAATTACTTCTAAAATTAGCATGGTCTTTTAATAGCTTTAAGAAATATTCAGTTTTCAATGAGTAGAAAGAAAAGAAAAGAAAAAGAAAAAACTAAAATATTCAATTTGACCCATGGCCTTAATCTAACAACTACTGTTTCAACATGAAAATAGTAAAATGTATATAGAGCAAACAATTTTCATAGGGTGCAAATGGATCATAGTCTTATTCTTTTTTCTTTTTTTTAATAATGGTTTTAGTTTGACAAAACTTATAACTCTATGGATTCTTCTGCCTTACTAAACAGCAAATAAGTTTCTTCAATATCAATATAAAAGATAAAATTCTTTGCACTTTAAGGTGAGATGAAGATGTGAGTTAAAGCAAATTGTTGCTGAACTCTTAAATATTGATGAAAATAATCTTGACTGTTTAAAGCTAAGTTCTGTAATTTGACTCGAGTCGGAGTACTATTATGATTGAAAACCTCTGCAATGATAACTGATAGTACTTAGTTAACTTCATTTCTTTTTTCTGAGTCCCAGTGATGATTTGATCAGATTTACTGTGAATTCAATTTCCTTTGACTCCGTTAAGACCCTTTCTTAGACTTGAGGAAGCCAAACTTTGGAAAATTTTCATATTCTTGAATTCGGTAAGTTTTTTTTTCAATTCTCAGGACATTTTACTATCTTGTTTAAGCTATATAATTAGTAAATGGATCAAACATTCAATAACTTCTTGAATAGGTAGCTAACTTTATAAATGAGAATGATTATTGGATTAGCAAGTTATTAGTAGTGTGTGATTTGAGCATTTATATAGAGTTTAATATATATCTTTCTAATGTAGGATTAA